GGGTGAACTTTTTTTTTTAAAAAAAATTGGGAAATTTTAAGACAAAAATGGCACAAGTGAGCTAGAAAAACCCACCAACACCCCATTTTCAGCCAAATCCCCTCCTTTTTGTTTCTAAAAAATCCTATATTAGTGCCTGCACTGTACTGCTTATATGTAAAAAATAAAATGGACTTGTATAAATTGTAATAATAAGCAGGAAAATAATTTTGTTCAAATTCATTAAAAATAATAAAAAATAAAACCTTGATATTTGTTCACCTGTAATCTGGCTTCAGTGATTATCATTTGGATTTGTTGTTATAGATCTTGAAGCAGGTCAATACACACAATCTAGTGTTGGAAGAAGGAAATCGGAGCCTGAAGTGTGTATACTGACTCTACCAATGGTGTTTAGTGATGTCAAGTAGCAGTAGATGGCAGTAGCACACAGTCAGTGGAAGAACTTGGGCTAAATACTGCAGAATCAGAAAGTAAAGTTTACCCCAAGATTGTCTCAGGGTGAATGATTTTTGTTCAGCTTGCTCACTCCGAGACAGTAGCAGGGTAAGTGCCAAGGGTGTTAAACATACACACAGAGCAGCTAAAGCCTAGTATAAGATAAAACTATGCTGATTAGCCACTTTATTAAGACCCGCCACCACCATACAGACACACATTTGAACAACTCACTTATCATGTCATATATAAGGTGCTTGCTTCAGCCATTTAAATGCAGATATGTGGACATATGATGATAAGTCTTCAAGACAATTGGCTAGAATGTGACATCTCTGACTTTCAAAAAGAGCATGATCATTAGAACATCATTGTCAAAGACATTTTCCACCAGTTATTCAAAAATGTATCAGTAGTTTTATAAACAATTTTAATTGAGACAGAATGCATCTACCACTATAAAAAACTGTGAGCACCATATGTTATGACTGACCAAGGAAAATGACAATTGGACAGGCTTTTAAAATGTAACACATTATTTTAACAGTGATCAGAACTGGACTATCTCCAACTATATCAGGTGAAAAAACCAATAAGCAATTCAACAAATGCTCATCTCAGATGCAAACAGGAAAGCATAATTTCAGTGGTGCTTCAAATGATAAGTGTGAATTATGAATAACTTGTAGCTTATAAATAATGTTCATGTTTTAACCTTTTCTGTTATGATGGTAAAGTAAAAAATATGGAGCAAAATAACAAGGTGTTCCATCCTATTTGTATTGTGCCAACAGGGCACACTAATATGCAATGGTGTAAAAATATTTTGTAGTAAAGGCTGGATCTTTTGACTTCCTTAAAAGGGTCAATAATCTAAGAGCATACCTGAACACTCTTTCTGACCATGTCCACCTTAAAATGACTTCAGACATCTTTCTTAGTCAGTGTAATGAATCTAGATAGCTCTATGGAATGAATTCAATCATCCCAGCTATTATTATAATCTTCTGTTGAACCTATAACCTAACTGATATTAGGTGGGTGTCGTAGTAAAGAAGCCAGTCAATGTAAATGTACAAAAATGACATTAATGTACATTTCTTAACATAAGAGGAAGAATTTAAAGAGGAAATACTCAACACAGCACTTTTAACTGACAGAAACTATGGTACAAAAAAACAAAAACAAATACCCGTGAAAACTGCATCTTGTCAACAACATCATCACTTGTGAGAGGAATCAGGCCAAGACGGTGAGCAATAAATTCATCATGTAAAACTGAAGAATTCCCTTCCAGTTGTACCCAATCAATTGCTAATGTTGCTACTTCAGCAATAAATACTCTTCTCAGACTGTTTGCAACACTGCAAGCAGAAGTAGATTATAGTTAATAACAATTCATTACCACATATTTACATAACAGTAGAATAAAGTAACTTTCCAAAAGGAAACCTTTAAAACAACTCTCAAATTATTCTAACACTGGTATTGCTTCATTTCTTAACCCTAAAAAACAATTATAAAAGAATATACTTTACGAGCATGTACAAAAAAAATGCCCTCAATAAAAAAAGAAATGTAAATCTTCAGAATATGAAACAATCACAACACACACAAAAATTTACAACTGTAATCTTGTCTTTGAACATACATTATTGGTGATGCTACACTGAATTCATCTAAAATTAATTTGTAGAATGTAAGTTACAGATCAAATTGAACTACCAAAAATCAACCAGTCTCAAATGAATTTCAACACATCTATATATTCATTTTTAGTTTTATGTTTCATGAACAGTGTAGGCACCCACTGTAGATATATATATCTACAGTGGGTGTTACAAAGGAGTTAAAACCTACTTACCCTAGTTTCAATTTGATATGACTTTTGTAAAAAGTCAATTAAATTTCAAAAAGTTTTATTAGCCATTTTTCTCATAAATTAATTTCTTTTGTAGTTGTATTTTCAACAGGATTATTGTTTCACAAAAAATGCTGATCAGTTAACAAGCAGTATATTTTTGACATGTTCTTCACATTTATAATGGTTAAAATTTAGTTCATTTCTTTACCTTTAGTAAATTTTATTTAAAACTGGATACATACTCATATTGTATAATACATATTGTATTATGTAATGTTACAAAT